CTTAATCTGCAGGGAACTGGGAAACAGGTCTGGAGAAGGTTCGGGAAGAGCTGGCCCACTGCTGATGCGTTATGTGGCCTGAGTCAGTCCCTTCCTCTCCGGGCTTCAGGCTCCCATGTGCCCTGACTCCCTTTTCTCCTCTGGGGAGACCTGGAACCCAACTTGAGTTCATGTGTGGGTGTGTTGTGAACCCCTGCATCCCCCTCCCCCTCCCAAGTCTCACTATTAATTCTGCCCTGTTGAGGTTGGTGGTCAGGAATGGCTTCTCAGAGGGCTGGGAGTGAGGAGCTGGAGTCTGTCCCAGGAGAAAGTTCGTGCAAAGGCCCAAAGGCATGAAAATTACTCAGGTGTTTAGGAGAGCTGGCAGGCGGGTGTTTGCCTAGAGATGAGAACACAGGGGTGGGCAGCTGAGGGATGGGCAGGGCATGAGGTCAGCTTAGGCAGGCACTAAGAGGCTTTCAGACCCTGCCACATTGCAGCCAAACTGTGCCCGCCCCAGGTGTCCCACCTCCAGTGTGTTTCTTCATGAATCAGCCATTTGAGGCCCCAGCCCCATAAGGAGGGTCAGACTGGGCTAGGAGAAAATCATGGTTTCTGGGAGCTGCAGGCAGCTGGGCTGAAGGCTGGGTTTGGCTATCTGTGGGGAAGGCTCAATCAGATGCTGTCACAGCTGGGTGGGGGCTGGGTGTCCTGGTACCCAGAGAGGCCACTGCCCAAGGTCATACAGCCTTTGGTGCTGGGTTGGCACAGGGGGATCTCCAACCCCTCATCTGTCCTCCATGCCTGTGCTGGCAGCTGTGTCCTAGGACCCAGCAGATGCCCCTGCTGCATTAGATAGGCCTTCTTTAGGCTTTCTGGAGGAGGGGTTCTGGTGGGATTTGAAGACTGAGTAGTTTTACAGGAAGAGATGGAGGGAAGGATATTGTTAGCAGAAGCAGCATGAGCAAAGTCCGGGAGACGGATATGCTCACAGAGCTGGTGTGGGGAGAGGAGGCTCAACTCGGAGGGTCTTGGAGAGTGGACTCCAGGAAGGGGGGAGGGCTTTGGAAAACTAGGTGACCCTAGTTACATAGGACCCCATTAGAGTTTCCTGACCTTTTCTGGGAAGTGGCCATGTTGGGGCCACAGGTTGTGCCTGGTAGGGGAAACTTGATATGTGAGGTCAGTCACAGGGAGAAGGGAGGCCCAGAGAGGCTGGAAGAGCTGCCCAGGGCCACATAGTGAGACAGTGGTGGCCAAGGCTGGCCTTTGATAGGGCAGGACCTGGCCGATAAGGAAGCAGGAGGCTGGAAGGGCTGCTTCTCACCACTTTTTCTTTGCAGGACACTGACAGAGCTTCTGAAGCAGCCGGGCCCCCAGGAGCCACTGCCTCCGCCTCTGGGCCCACCTCTGGGTAGCTGTGTCCAGGTACAGATGGGTGATGGCCTCCCCAGGGGCTCCCCCCACAACAGCACTGGTGAGTAGGCTGGTGGGCGGGCATTTGTTGATCTACAGCACTGGAAGCAAGGGAATGGGTGTGTTGAGGGGTAAAAGGCTCTGAGCAGACTGCTTCCCAAATGGAAATGCGCTGTCTGCCTCTGCAGGTGTGTGAGTGGGGGCTGGACAAGCTGGTCAGCAACCCTTGGTGGAGAAGGATCCTCCAGCCTCAGGGACTCTGTGAGGAAGTTTCCAGATTTAGGGATCCCTGGCTCAGCCCGTGGTTCAGCACCCTGGGGTCTGCCTGGCCAGGGTTTGTGGCCTATGTGGGCCTTTCCTCCAGGCTGGAGCCTCCCTCTTGGCCTCTTGCTGGTGAGGCAGGCTTGACAGCAACCCCCACAACTCCCGTGTGGGCTCTAATCCTCAGATATTCCCTCCATCTCTGCCAGGGGCAGGTCCTGAGACTCAGTGCCTGGCTGAAGCCGGACATGCTGGCGAGTCATCCATTAGGTTAGCACTCACTCAGGATGGGCTGCTATTCGTTATTCTGAGCCAGGCCCTGTTCCAGGCGCTGGAGATTCTGCCATGAAGACAGGTTCCACTCTCAGTCTCACCCAACTAGCCACCCCACAAAGTTCTCATTGAACTGCAGATGAGGAGAGGACAGTGAACAGGTGCAGAGTGTCCCTCCAATCAGAGGACCTAGTCTCATCTTTCCCTCTCCTTGCTCCAGACAAGAAACGTCCCAACAACGTGCCCCTGGGGTCGGCGACACCAGGACCCCCGCGCGGCCCCCGGCTGCAAGGCGGCGGCAGCATGACGTTACAGCCTGATTACGCGAAGTACGCCACCCTCAAGGCAGCCGCGCTCAAGACCGCAGGTGAGTGGACAGGTTTGTGCCAGGAGCGAGCGAAGGGCCCACTGCACCCCGGTATGTAAGCTCCTAGACTGCAGGGTTTGGGGTCCCAGTCCGGAGTTTCAAAGTTCCCAGCCTTGCGAGTCAGCGCTCCAGCCAGCTTCTATATGCCGCCACGCGCTGACCTGGCCGCCTGGCAGCGACCCCTCGCAGGATCCAGAGCCCGGGGCGTGGAAAGCAGCTTANCCTCCAGGAGGAGGGGGAAGGCGCTGCCGCCACGGAGGACGCCCCGTCTGCCAGAGCCCAGGCACAGCCCGCCCCACGGTCCCAGGACGTTGGGGGGGGGGAGGCAATAGGTAGACAGGGGCCGTAGGCAGGGGCTTGGATGGGTACCAGCCATCACCGCGTGACCTTCGTCTCCCTGCCCTCCCCTCCCCACACATACATCCCGCCCCGCGCCCTCCTGTCTCTCCACTCCCTCGGCCCAGCCTCGCTTCCCTCTGACCCCCCCCTGCCCCCCCCTACCCCTCCGCCAGCGACGGGGATGAGCAGCCTGGAGCCCAGGACAGCGCTGCAGCCGCAAGAGTCGGTGGGCGCGGGGGCCGGCGCCTGGGCGGAGACAGCGCTGCAGCTCCCCGCGCTCCTCTTCGTCGTCCCCGCGCTGCTGGGCCTGGCGCTGGCCCTGGTCCTGGTGGCCCTGGTGGCCCTGGTGAGCTGGAGGCGGCGACAGCGGCGGCTTCGCGCGCCGGTTCCCCCGGAGGCCCGCGACACAGAACAGGACGGTAAGCTCCGCGTCTAGGGGACCCAAGAGGCACTGCCCAGTGGAAGAGGGTCCTGCCAGGCGGGGTGGGGGCAGTGTGAAAGGGGGGAGGGCTGAAGGGGAAGGCAGGCTCTGGGGGCGTGCAAAAAAGATAGGAAAAAGCTGCTCTGAGGCTCTAAGGCTGAGCAGGGAGACAGTCCTGCCTGAGACCCCAGGCCAAGTGAGGGACACAGCTGGGACCTCTTAGACCCAGGTGAGAGGAAGAGACACAAGGCTGGGGAGCTGGGTCTGAGAGGGGGGTCTGTCCTGGCTTCTCTCTGGGATGGCCAGACTGCCACACTTCCTCTCTCTTCTGTCACCACCCCTCATTTTGCTGCCCTCTCAGCACTTCCTGTCCTGAGGGCTCATCATGTGTCACCCCTCCCCCCTCTGCAGTGGGGTTTCATCCACTTGTCTCTCAATGGGAGAGCTGTCCCTTAAGGAAGGCTTCCAGAACAGGGATAGGAGACTGCTGTGACTCAATCCTGACCCTGCATTTCCCCCCACCAGAACCCCTGAATAGTGTCACCATCCTCTCCTCTGGACCCCTTGATGCCACATCTCCTATCTGGCCTTCACCCAGAGAAGACCCAGCCACCACCCCACCTGCCCACAGCGTCCCTGTGCCAGCCACAGAGCTGGGCTCCACTGAGCTGGTCACCACGAAGACAGCTGGCCCTGAGCAATAGTAGCAACAAAAGGGACAAGAGGTGGCCCCTGCCCTCTGTGGACTGCCAGCCAGGGATTCGGAGGTTTGAATTTGGCTTTTCACCCCACCTGCCCCTTTTCTGGGAGCCAGGCTGCTCCCGAGCACATCCAGCAGAACCACAGACATGGCAGATCAGAGGGTTCAGCCAGCACCATGTCCTATGGCAGGTCAGCGTTTGGCTTAAAATCCTACCATCTTTGGAAGCCACTGAAGGTTGTGACTGAGCTCCTGTGTTTTTGAGTAGTTGGGGCACTTTGAGTAGGAGGCTTCTCTTTTAGAGTGCGGAAGCCACCATTAAGCTGAAATGAATCTAGGAAAAGAATCGAGTGGGAGGATGCCTAATTTATAGCTAGGTGTTGTATCTCTTTAATACTTTGTCTCAAGAGCTGTCCTACTTTTCAACTGATGCAAATGGCAGGAATGATTAAACACAAAACCAAACCAAACGAAAAACCAATTGATGGGTTTGCTTTGGGATATAATACAAGATCATTTGTTAAGAGTAGGCTTAAGAGCACGAGCTCTGAGCAACAGGGCCGCTGGTTTGATTGCCACATGGGCCAGTGACACTGCATCTAAGCTGAGCTATCACTGAGCTGCCAACAGGTGGCAGGATGGCTCAGCTGGTGTAACAACAAGACTGCCTATTCAATGGTGGGCTATGCCCACCCGCAACTAAGACAATTCAGCACCTTGAGCTGAGCTGCCGCCCAATTGGTTCAGTGGATAGAGCGTGAGCTCTTAACAAGGCTGCTGGTTCAACTCCCGCATGGGATGGTGGGTACATCCACCTGCAACTAAGATTGAACATAGTACCTTGAGCTTAGAGGCTACAAGCTGCCACCGGGCAGCCAGATGGTGACTGGCGCCCTCCACAACGAAGATTGAAGAACAACAACTTGGGGACCCTCTTCCCCAATTACCCCAATAAAATCTTTTTAAAAATAAAAATAAAATAGAAATAGCCTTGGGGCAGCTGGTTAGCTCAGTTGGTTAGAGCGCAGTGCTCATAACAGCGAGGTTGCCAGTTCGATCCCCACATGAGCCACTGAGCTGCGCCCTCCACAAATAGATTGAAACAACTTACTTGACTTGGAGCTGATGGGTCCTGGGAAAACACACTATTCCCCAATAAAATTAAAAAGAAAAAAAAGAAAGAAAAGAAGTAGCCTGAATTGTGCTGATTCTCAGGGGTCTGTACCCCAGTGTCAACCCTGAACTTGGCTCAATCTGCTAGGAACTATGATGTCATTTTCACTCTGATGGCAGCTTCCAGAGCCCAAGGCTTGCACTTGGAAGGAAGTCTACAGTCTCTGAGGCTGGACTGCAAACTCATGCTGAAGGCACCTTGACTGGCATCTCCCTCAGAGACCACCTGGGGTCCCAGCTGCCTCCAGGGCACACTCAGCCATTCACAGGGCAAGACTCAGGACCTGCAGGATGCGCCTTCATACAGAGGCCAGGGCAGACCTGTGGCCTTGAACCAGCTGGACCTGATGTCCCTTGAGCTCCCTTCTCTCTGTCACCTGCGCTCCTTAAGCACTGGGACTGAGTGCTGTAGTCACTTGGGCATTCAGTGCCAGCGCCTGGAGTCACCCACCATCCCAGTGGAACTGCTCCTGTGACAGTGGTGCCACTTGCTCTGGGCCTGGGGCCCAATTCCGGACCACCCTGTACACTTGATCAGCTGCTGCCTCGCGTGCCAGCCTCCTACACAGGGTTAGAACCTCCTGACCCCAGATTCCACCCTGGAACTGGAACTGGAACTTGTCACAGCTCAACGCCTTTGGAAAGATCACTGGACTGGGAGTCAGAAGATGGGATTCTGGGTACCATTTTGTCCCACTGTAGGACCTTGGTCACATCCTGTTCTGTTCATCAGATGTGTTCTGCTCACTTCTCCCTGACTTGCCATCCGAGTTGCCTGGCACACACCTGCCCCTCCTGCCCACCCCTTTTCCACCTCAGAAGACAATGAGCGACCACCAGCATTTGGAGCCCCCGGGACCTGGACACTCACATCTCTCCCATCTAAATCTCTTCCTAGCCACTACCTTCCTGACCTCACCTCAGATGCCCCTCCCTCCAGGGAGCCAGGTGGCTGGGGGCAAGGTCAGGTGGCAGGCAGTAGGCAAAGGGCTCAGAATGGCCCCAGCCATCCACTCTGTTGGAGGAGTCTGAGCTGTTTCTGGCCACCCTACCCCCACCCCACCTTTTCCACCAGAGCTGGTGAAACTAGTGGGTGAAACCTCTCTGGGGCCCAGACATGCAAACCTCCGGCACCACGGTGTCCTGGCTGAACCCCTGGCTAGTGTGCGGCTTCCCCTCCAGTCTCAGTTTCCTTTTCTGAAAAATGGTGGGTTCAAAATTGGATGCAAAGTTCTCCTCGTGGCCTGTGGCCCTCAAAGGAGAAGGACTAGAAGGAAGCTTAGAGAATCTTCGACCCCTCACCACATTTTACAGATTAGGAAACTGAGGCCCAGAAAAGAAGACTTGGCATCATTGTCATCCAGCAAATAACAGAAGGAAAGTTTATTGAGGAAGAACCAGAAGCCGAGGCCAGGGGAAAGGTGGGCAAAGAGGGTGTCAGTCTCCCCCAACCCCTGAAAGGGACCCCGACTCCCAAGGGCCTCCAGTCTCTGGTCCTCAGTCCTAGGCATTGTTTTCTAAGGAGTCTTACCTCATTTGGTCTTAATACTAGCACCTTAAAGAGTGGTGCTTGCTTTTAAAAAGTGTTTTTTATTTAAAAAAAAATCAAGACATGGGTTTTATAGACACTTTGGAAAATTCAAGACAGTAACCCAGGGTGGAATCTACAGAGAAACAGCCAGCAATACCAGGCCCCTGAGTGGTGGATTTCCTACATAATTGTAATCATTCTCTATACATATATAAATTCATATCTTGACTGTCATACTTGGTGAGTTTTCTCTTGCTTTTAAACACTTCGCCAACAAGGTGAAAATCTTGCAAAATGTTGAAAAATTTGCTGCTGGAGCATTTGGTTGTTTTCAGTTTTTACAGTGGTCCCCCCTTATCCGGCTAACTGCAGTTTGAAAATATTAAGTGGAAAATTCCAAAAATAAATAATTCATAAGTTTTAAATTGTGTTTCATTCCGAGTAGCATGATGAACTCTCGCACTATCCTGCTCCTTCCCACCCAGGAGGTGAATCATCTTTTTGTCCAGTGTATCCACGCTGTATGTGCTCCCTGCCCATCAGTCACTTAGTAGCCTTCTTGGTTATCAGATACAGTGTTTGTGTTCAAGTCACTCTTATTTTACTTAATAATGGCCCCCAAGCACAAGAGATGCTGGCAATTTGGATACACCAAAGAGAAGCCATAAAGTGCTTCCTTTAAGTGAAAAGGTAAAAGTCCTCCACTCACTAAGAAAAAAATCATATGCTGAGGTTGCTAAGATCTACAGTAAGGACAAATCTTCTATCCATGAAATTGTCAAGAAGGAAACATAAATTTGTGCTAGATTTGCTGTCGCACCTCAGGCTGCAAAAGTTATGGCCACAGTGTGTGATAGCTGCTTAGTTAGGATGGAAAAGACATTAAATTTGTGGGTGGAAGACATGAACAGAAAATGTTTTCCAGCTGACAACATGTTGCACCAAAAGGCATTGAGCCTGTACGGAGACTGCAGCACGGGGTCTCCTGGAACGGTGCCCACATTCATGTCACATTTATTACAGTATATAGTTATAGTTCTATTTTATTATTAGTTATTGTTAATCTCTTACCGTGCTTAATTTATAAATTAAACTTTATCATGGGTACGTATATATAGGAAAACACATTGTATATAAAGGGTTCATGGGGCGGCCAGTTAGCTCAGGTGGTTAGAGAACAGGCTCATAACACCAAGGTTGCCGGTTCAATTCCCACATGGGCCAAGGAGCGCTCCACAACTATTAGGTTTTTGGAAAAGTCATGACGTATTTTTTCTATGTTTTTTGTTGCAAAAATGCATCATGACTTTTCCGACAACCCAATAGATTAAAGACAATGATGGGCCAGCCGAGTGGCGCGTTGGTTAAGAGCTGGCTTGGGATGCCAGAGGGTCCTGGTTCGGATCCCACATATGAGGGCCAGTGACACTGCCCTCCACGGCTAAGATGCTGAACAACAGCTCAACCTGGAGCTGGGCTGCCCTGAGTCCACGGAGGCCCCTGCTGCAGTGGGTTGCCATGGGCTACCGTGTGTAGCCAGCAGCCAGCCAGAGCGGCCAGGCCAGCAGCCGCTGTGAGCGGC